ACACTGAAGTTAAAAGAGAAAATGTCAGGGGGAATAGTTTAAAGTCAAACATATAAACAAACACAAAACTGAAGCATAAAGCAATAAAATGTTATATTTGAGTTTTCAACTAACAGGCTATAAAAAAGAATTAAAATTTAAATTCTAATATACAAAACTTGTGTGCATGCATGCAAAACAGAATGTATTACAGATATTCAAGAACAATAATTCCACTAGAAAGCACAACAATTTCTTTTTTAAAATTAAAGTATCAAATATAAATTTAATTTCTTTAGTAAATAGAAGGAAATAACCAGTTCGAATTTTCTCTCTTTCACAGACTTTAAATACATATTTTTAGGGCACCTTTTGTTGATAACCTTGATATGAAAGAATAATTACATAATTTTTCCAACTCAGAAAGGAAATTTACGTCAGTACCTTTATTTTATTTCACTGAATCATTTTAAATAGTTAATTCTGTGGAAAAACCCACTGTAATCTGGAATACAGCGTTCCAGCATATTTTATTTAACAGGAATATCTGATTCTCAGTGACTGGGAAGAACAGCCGTTTTAGAGTAGCTGGTGCTCATTTCTTCCCTACTGCACACTTCTTAAGCCCAGCGGAATACACGCACATAAGGAACAAGGCAGGTCGTGGATGCGGAAACTCCTGCCCCTGAACCCTGTCACACTCCGGCTACTCAAAATTCGGTTGTGCACCAGGTGCACTGGCCACACTTGTGCACCTACTGGAAAAGCAGCACCTCGCACCCTATGTCATCACAAAAGCCCCGGGGTCCCGGAGGCACACTCAGGTCTGGGAAGCCCTGGTACACACACGCTTCCTCAGGCAACTTTCGTAAACTCTCCAAGACCAGGCTCCTACTGAAAAATGAGACCAGTGCTGGTACCTACACCGTAGTATAGTTGGGAGCGTAGTCAGATAACATCACTTAGTAACAAACACTCAATAAAGTCTAACTGGCATTCAGTTGTATCATCTACCTCAGATTTGTATATTTATGATTTTTCCACCCTGTTTCACCTAAGATTGCATTGGCCCAACACTGATACATTCAAGCTCCTTTAATCCAGGTATCTCCCTGGGTAGCAAAAATAGAAGTAAATTAATAATACCATCTTGCATTCATTTACGCTATAATGTAGCACCTGTTTTATAATCAGCCTCAAAATATTTCCCTACTAAATAATGTGTTTCCTGCTTCTGCGGAATCAAAGAAGTTAAATAAAGAACTTAGTTTGAAAACAATCATGAGTCTTTCTCCCAGACATAAAATCTAACTAATTCTACACTCAGTAACCCTCCAACCTTGTGAATTCTGCCCTAGTGTACTTAAGAGAGTCACTCTCTCTCTCTCTCTCTCTCTCTCTCTCTCTCTCTCTCTCTCTCTCTCTCTCTCTCT